AAAGAAAAGAAAAGAAAAGAAAAGAAAAGAAAAGAAAAGAAAAGAAAGACGGATATTGATTCTCTGAGACGAGTACGATAAAAGGTCAGGGCCTTTTAAGTCCCCCTGGGACCTTTTCTGTGCATTTACTAGTGTTGGGGTTTTAATGTAATTTATTATTTAAACCAAATCTACAATTAAACCGAGCTACTTACATTCAAGGTCTGTAACTTACTTTATTTACATAATTTAAAAATAGGTTAGCAAAAAGACAATTTTTTATTAGATATATACTATACTTTTCAGTATATTACATACTCTCTGAAGAGAGAGGGTAAGCAGTAGACTACCACCATACCAAAACGTTCTACCTTTATAATGATGTAGAGTAAATAATCTTAAACATACATTCTGCACGATGCATTGCATTTATTTTCCAAAGTTGGGCATGCCTGACTTGAGTCCTCATCTTACACAGCTTCACTAATTGCTTTGTTCTCTGCAGAGGAAGCCATCCACAGATTAAAAAAGGGAGAAGGGAAAGGAGGAAGGGAGAGAGGATGGATTTTTGGTGATAAATCCCTTGACTATCAAGCTTAACTCCAAAGCAACAAGCAAAAACACTCTAAGCAACAAGAAATAACCTCTGAGTACAGTTTCCTGGCAGAGAAGGAGGGGGCTCAGAAAGAAGTTCCCTGTGACTCTGGAAAGACAAGAAAGGACTGTATTTGGAGGCTAAGTCATGGTACCTCAATCTCATGGAAAAGGGGAAGTATTGCATGATTTGGAAGGCAGAACTTAAGGAAGTGGCAGAAGACGCACAGTAATTGAGTTGAGACATAAAATAATACTGTAGTCTGAGGCACCTGGGTGGCTCAGTCTGTTAAGCATCCGACTTTGGCTCAGGTCATGATCTCACGGTTTGAGAGTTCGAGCCCCATGTCAGGCTCTGTGCTAACAGCTCAGAGCCTGGAGCCTGCTTCAGATTCTGTGTCTCCCTCTTTCTCTGCTCCTCCCATGCTCATGCTCTGTCTCTCAATAATAAATAAACGTTAAAAAAATTAAAATAATACTGCAGTCATAGCTTAGGCTGCAGTAACAGCCCCCATTCTCCCTTTCCACAGCACATGTTTATTTTTTGTGTTCCCTGTGAATACACAGTATTCATACATTGTATCACACAAGGATCCAAGTGACAGAGGCTTTGTATTACTATGGGTTTTCTCAATTACAGCAGCAATGAGAAGTGACCTGTGTCCTGGTTCTTAAGACTCTTCCTTCAAAGTAACACACGTCACCTTTGTCACATTTGGTTGACCAAGGCAAGTCACAGGACTTTACCTAACTTCAAAGGGGGTGGGAAAAGTACAACCCTGCTGTGTGCCCAGGAGAAGAAAGGGGAATGCTTGGGGAATAGTATTAACTTTTAGCACAAACACTAAACCAGGATGAAGGAACTTTCAACTGAAAGATAAATCTAGTCAATTTATGTAAAGTATATGGCATGTTTCAATGCATAAACATACCAAAATGTATTTATCTAGTCTCCACAAAGGGACATTTAGATTGTTACCACCATTTTCTTGGCGATCACAAAGGTGTCTTCTTGTGTACATGGCTAAGAGTTTCTTAAAGGAATACATAAGATATTGTGCAGCTCATAGCTATGAGTTACCTTCAATTTTCCTGGATATTGCCCAAATGAGTCACCAAAGTGATTGTAAAAATGTACACTCTCAACTCATTGCACCACATCCTTATCAGCTCTTGGTGATGTCAGACAGATGAGTGTGACATATCTCAATGTGGTTTTAGTTTTTCATTTTTTTGTTTGATGAAGTTGAACTTATTTTTTTCTTTTTTCCTTTCTGTAAACTACCTATCTTATCTTTTGTCTATTTTTCTGTTGTCTTTCTAATTGATTGTAGGGTGCCAGTCTTCTGTTGGTTAATGTTTTGAGATGAAATATTCATCTTTTCCTTTAAGATTGGTAGCTTTCTTGTTTATATATTCTTTCCTACCCTCATTTTATAAAGATATTTTCCTGTATTTTATTCTACAAGTTCTCAAATTTTGCTTTTCACATACTTATTTTTTGGTTACCATAACACAGAAAATCTACTTTCATTTTTTACTCATAAGTTTAGCTAATTTCCCTACCACCATTTAATGAACTCTTCCTCCCACTGATTTATGAGACTTCAGTCACATACAAAGTTTTCATATATATTCATGTCTCTTCTTAAGATCTGTGCTATGTTTCACTGATTTGACTAGCCTTGTGTCTTTACCATGCTGTTTTAACTACTGGGATTTTACAGTAATCTTCAAATCTGATACAGTGAACACCTCTGTTCTCTCTCCTTCCCCCTTTTCCTTTTTCCTCCAAATTGTCTTAGATATTCTTGGCCTTTTTAGAAAAAATTTTCATTTTACCCACTCTTTCAAATATAGTGGCATAAAATTTTTCAGAATGCTTCCTTTTTCATTCCAAATATCTGTATTTGCACCTCTTCTTTCAGTCCTATACAGGCTTGTCTACTTATTAGCGTTTTCAAAGGACCAACTTTTGGTTTTGTTGATTCTTTATTTCCTATTTCACTAAATTCTGCTCTTCTTTTTATTATTTCTTCTTCAACTCCTTTTAAATTACTGTTTTGTTTCCCAACTACTTGAAGTGAATACTCAACTCATTAACCTTTCCTCTTTTCATACAGTCAAAACTTATTTACCCACACTTACCAATTTATTCACCATTACTGTTTTTTACATCCTCCTTTCTTCTTGGCCCACCTTCCTTCTTTCTAAGACATGTCCACTAGCATTCAGCAAAGTCTCTGTTTGAAAGTGCATTTTGCCACCACTCTTGGAAAATAGGTTAATTACTATGGAACCCTAGTTAAAAGCTGTTTTTCCCCAGCACTTTGATGATATTATTCCATAGTCTTGTGACTTTTACTGTTATGTCTGCTAAAGTCTGCTATCCCCCTAACTGTTGTAATTGTTTTTGTCTACAGTTAATTTTAAGATTTTCTTTTTGGTTTTAGTGTTTGGCAATTTAACTGAGTTGTACCTAGACGTAGGTTACATTTATCCTTCTCAGGACTGAATAAGAGCAGTTATGGCTTTTAAGTCTGGAAAATTTTGGCCATTATTTCCCTGAATATCAATTCTCTCTCCTTTTCTGTTTTGTTGTTGCTGTTGTGCTTCTCAAATTCCTACTGGACCTCTGTTGGAAATTTTCATTCTTTCTTCCATGTTTCTCAACCTTTCTTTTATTTTTTTTCCCCTTTGTACCCCTTTCTGAAGCATTCTGGGCAATTTCTTTTTTTTTTTAATTTTTTTTTCAACATTTATTTTTTTTTGGGGGGGGGGACAGAGAGAGACAGAGCATGAAAGGGGGAGGGGCAGAGAGAGAGGGAGACACAGAATCGGAAACAGGCTCCAGGCTCTGAGCCATCAGCCCAGAGCCTGACGCGGGGCTCGAACTCACGGACCGCGAGATCGTG